CTGAGGATGAGCAATTGTGTGGGAGGCAAAGGTACAACAGTGAAGCATCTTCACATTTCCTCTCCATGTAGGAAGGGCAAAGTGGCAGCCTCTGAGTTGTTCAGCAGCTGTTCCCAATGGAGTGGGAAGAAGCTTCCCCTTCTTATCCAACAGGATTGCAGCTGTGCTTAGCCATCTTCTGGGGCCACCTGGTGCTGCACAGGATTTGGACACATTTACTGGGTTCAGTAGTCCATCGCATGGACTTGTGGCAACAGCAGTGAAGAAGAACTCGTTCTTAAGACCTGAAGGAGGGAGTGCCCTCAGGCTTTACCACATCTGAAAACAACATCCTCATGTCAATAGCTTTTACAGCCCCCAAGAGAGACATAGAAATGGTTCAGTGGCCATAAGCTGCCTGAAATGTTCAGTGTCTAGACTTGGCTGTTGAGGAAGCATCTTTAGGCTTTCCTTTTATTCCCTGTTATGTGCCCCCAGTTGGTATCCTTCAAAGGATATTCAACTGAATACAGTAAGGATCTAAATATTTCATATGGTCATTTTGCTGACACAGTACCAAGCACTTCATATGTATTTGTACACATTGTCCAGTGTATAATCTTTATAGGGTTACATTACTGTTTGTTTTTTGCAGTCTATAGACCCCTTAGTTTTGGACAGGGGCTTGCCCCATAGTAAGAGCAATGCAGAATGATATAAATGGGTCACAACATGTTTTCTAACTCAAAGAATAAATCATTCAGTTACAGTATAGAGATGCCACCAGGTTAAAAATAGTCAGGGAAGTGCAAAAAGCTGTTTATCTACCTCAGAAGCAATAGCTAAAGGCAATAAGCCTACAGTAATAGCTGTAAGCAGTAGCAGTACTTGCTTGTCCCCTTGATTATTATCTTTGCAGTCTTTAATGAGAAGAATTGTTTGCAGGGCATTGAAAGGATGATGTGCAAGCTACTGTTACTGGTGTTTGGGGCTGTTTCATGAGGACAAGTAAAAGGAGAAGTCAAGAAGGTCATTTTGCTTTGCTGGTTGAGAATCTCAGTAATCTGCAAGGTGTCACCTCTTAAATGATCATTGTTTTCTGCCAGGAAGAAGTGAATTAACACAATGTACATCTGGTTCACTATTGCACATTTACAACTTTAAGAAACATGCAAAGTATGAATTTGGGGGTGGGGAATGACCCCTGCCAGTTAACAGGGTAAGAGGTTTGGTTTCCTGTAGTCACTGAATAAAGAGACCTGCTGGCATAGCAGTCACCCTTATATGACCTACTGACTTGCTAGAAATTGTCTACCCTGGGTTGTCTAATTTTTTAGCCAGAGGAAATTACAAGGGGAAAAGAAAGCCAGTGATGTAAGAAATGCAGCTGTATGAGTTTACGGGCTTAGCTAAGATAGTCCTACTGTAGGGAATGTGGTCACCTGTGGTGCGATTCCTTCAGAAGTGGGCAAGAGCTGCTCCGAGCAGCAGGGTTTGTGGCTGTGTGTTCCAGGTGAAGGTGTTTTTGTACTCCAGGTTGACACAGTTTGGTCTGTGAATTCTTTATGGGCTGTGGCTTGCTCCGTGCTGATGATATGTTAGTACTAGGCATGTAACCAGCTGAGATTTATGCTTCTGAAGCTAGCCTCTTTCTCCCTCTGCTTTGTATGTGTGGCTTCTTAAAATACATCACAATTTTGCCTGATGTTATTATCTTCTGTTTGCAGGGGGAATGCTTCATACCCATTTGCTCCTTTCCTTTTTCAGTGTGTTGGCTTGCTCAACTGGGTTTCATCTCCAAGTCTGTCAGTACTGTAGAAGGGAAAGCTGGTAATAATAAAACACTCATACAAATTCCCCCCTAGGCACTGTTTTCGTAAGACATTTTTGCATGTTTTACGACCCTCTCTGATAACTATAGAGTGGATGAGGGCATCAAGAAATCATGATTTGATAATAAATTCGTGTGGCCACACAGCTTTGTTAATGTGTACAAACAGACTCCCTTTTTGGGCACCATGAATGACATCATGACATTCCAGGGTTATCATGGTTTTTAGTTACTGTGTCTGTTTTTGTATCTGTCTGGTCTTTATATTACTTTCCTGTCTCAATTAAGCATCTCAGTGAGGCTCAATAAGCATTCTTTCTCCAGTTGGTTATATTTGTTTTCTTTGCTTCTGGGAATCCTTTACACTGACTTCTAGTTATGTTGCAGTGTGGTTTTACTGTTAAATGGGCATTGGAAGAAAATTCCTTGCAGTTCTGGGAACCCCTTTCCAGGCCACCGATGATACAATGGCTCATTGTTCTTTCCCAATAATAATTGGGCACATTTTAGACTAACGGGGGTTCAGAAGTTTATGAAGCAACTTTTTGGGCCTGTTGTTTTGCTATGAAAATTTGTGGACAGATTGAGAACGGTAACACAATTACATGCCCACGGTACCTAACCCATATAAGCATCTGATGAATTTTTGATGTTAATAGGCTTCAATTAAAATACTAGTTTACTCACCTATGCAGTCTCAGTTGACTTTCATATCTACCATTTGTTGTGTAGAAAACACTAGAATTTTTGCTCAGGCTCCCTAGTAAGTATTTGAATGTGCACTCCTCTCCCCTCATTGGTTGTTGTTGACCAGAAAGACTTGCAGGCTTGAGCTGTGTTCTGAACTCAAGATAACTGCGGGTACTCCCGGTTCAGTGCAATATTGGGAAAATCATCTTTCAGCATGAGAGTGGAGCTGATGCACTCATTTGCTCAGTGACAAAGCTTCAATGAAAAAGATATAGCAGTGAAAATTCTTCTTTCCTTTTTTCTTCTTTCCTTTTTTCCCATCTCTCCAATGTGATGAAAATAATTTGTATGTAAAAAGTCTGACTAGGATAGGACTATTTTGTTCTGTAAATTGACATATGTTTCATAGATAGGGCATATATTCAAATAGGGCCCAGAAGTCATCACTATGAATCGATTCTTGAGAAATTGTATTATGTTTCCTGCCCAGTTTTTAATAGAAAAATGTGTCTCACACTATCTGCTATCACAGTCAGCACCTGCAACTAAATAATAATGGATGGGACATATAAACCACATGTTATTGATGAGCTCAATTTCTTTGTCTTGAGTGTTGTCTTGAGTTTGAGTTCAGTGGTGCCTCTTCTGTGAAAGAAAGAAAATAATGGTACTTCCTTCAGAAGCCTTAGTTCATTCTTATTGTATTTTTTTTTTTCTTTAATGAGGGGATGTGTATTCTGCATATGCAATGATATTAGCTTTTCCACTTTCTTCAAATGGAAGGCTAGCGCTTTACATACCTTCTTCTTTAATTGTGTACCTGGATCTGTGTTGATATTTTTCCAGTGCTTCTCTAGATTTCCTGCAGCTGGCAGCCTTATTTTCTTGGAGTTTGTACTAGCTTGCAGTATAGTCAAACCTGTTACCTTTCCTCTTGTAACACTGTATCCTAAAGCAGTGGGAGTTCATTTTACTGTAGAAAGAACAATTATATTGGTTGTTGAGGTATTTTATCAATATATGTTCCTCACTACTTGCTGCATTTTCGCCAAGGTTCATGACTACAAACCTGTTTTGGTTTGGTTTGGGGGTTTTTGTGTGTGTGTGTATGTGTGTGTGGTTTTTGGTTTGGTTTGGTTTTTTAGGGGCCTGGGGGATTTTTAGTTATTTATTTAAGCTTTTTTATTGTTGCATCTGCCTAACAGTAGCAGAGTTCATTACAAGAGTTCTGGGTTTAAAAGCTAACCAGCTCTTCCGGTCACTTCTTTGAGACCTGGATGTAAATTAAATTATGCTGACCAAACCCTTATCTCACTGGTATAAAAATGGACTGCTGTCTTTGATGCAAGTTTCTGAAGGAGTTTGAGACCTTGCAAGATGTAAAGAGCGCAATTGGCAAAGAAGGATCATAATGTCAAGAGTGTCATCTGAAAAGAAAAACTGATTCTCCAGAAAGTTTATATGGTTCCACTTGATCTGAGGATGCTATATTAGATAATGTAATCTTTGATTCCTCTGCTCGTTGATCAGTATTTAAGCATGTATTTTTGCACATGCTGTAAACGCATCGGTCCTTTGCAAGCTGAAGGAAAATATGCCAACAGAAGGATTTGATGACACTTTAAAGTCTTTGAGCACTCAATTAAAGGGAAAGCAAGACAGAAGCCTAATTTCTTCTGATTACTTTTGTTTGATTGAAATAATAAAATGCATAATACTATTTCTTCTCTTTTATTCACATTTCTGTCTTGCACTTATAGCTTGTTCTTTTCAAAGCTATGATATAGTTAATTTTTTTCCCTGTGGTCATCCTGCTCTTAAGAGGGATGAAGAAGTGACTCACTTTCTGCCTAATGCTGTCTCTAATTGATGACTCATCTGCTTATTCCACCGTTAGTGGTCTTTTATGCACTGAAGTTGATCAGTAGGTGTTCCACATAGCTTCCTATTTAGACACAAACAGTTACAGTGGTGATCTTTAGGCACAAATGTGCCTGGCCTATTTGGCAACAGCTTTCTGATGTTTTCCCCAATCAATCATTACAACAGAAAAGGAACCACCCACTAACAGATCCTAAAGGAAAAGGAGTGCATCTTTACAACCAGAATATTCAAAAGCTTCTGGAAACCTTTCACTCCTGAACAGGGATAGTACCTCTGTCACTCAAGTCCTTGGCATGTGAACCTTCTTAACATGAGAAAAGGGAAATTTCTATCATTATGTTATAACTGAAAAGGCCTATGTACATCAGGCCTATCATCAATATGTATTATCTCCAATTTGAGTTTTAGCACATCTTTTTCAGCTCTCCTATTCAGAGCCTTTGTCATTGAGTCTAAACATGGCATTGAGCATTGAGTCAGCATTCAAAAATACCCATCCTGCTCACAGCAGCTCTTGTGATCTGCATTGCTAGTTCACACAGTATTTGGGTAAAAATTATGTTGTTTTTAACATTATATTTAACAGTAACTGGAAATGTTGCTTGTTTCTGTTTAGATGAGAGTCCTTACACAAAATCTGCAAACCAGGCAAAGGCACCTGATGGAGCACTGTCTGTGAGGAGACAGAGTATTCCAGGTAAGACTTGCTTTGCTTTTTATAACATCTAACTTGTTTTGAACAACAAGGTGATACTAATCAAAATTCAATTAGTTATAAAAAGCAAATGAATTACAGTTGCTACCAAGCAACTTTATAAAGAAGGTTCCATAGGAGCTGTAAGATGTTCCCACAATTAGGTTACCTCAAGCTTTTGCTGTGAAGAACATCCCTGTATCTCTGTCTTTTGCAGCAGATTTGAGACATTGAGCACAACAACCTTTTCAACAGAGACCCGTGTATTTTCAGGCCCTATGAAATCTGTTCTTTGATATCTGGTTTCGATTGTGTAGGGAGATTGGCCCATATTTTCTGCTACTGATTGGCCAGGCTCAGAAATCTAACAGGGCAACACTCTGCCAGGGTTCTCGTCTTCATGAAATTTTCTGCCACACCTACGCCCATCCTTGTCTTTTGTGTTATCACATCACACAAAGCTGGACCATTAGATAAATGGTTAAAATAAGTGATCTTTGAACCTCTGTCTCTTTTATTTACTTCAAACAAGTCTGCAAAACATGCCCATGGAAAACAAGCTTTGTATGCATATTGTGCAGAAATCTAAAGGGATTTTCAATTCAAGTAATATTTCGCAGAACTTTTAATGAAAACAAACAAACACTGAGAAGGGTTGCACACAGGTGGAATTACTGATGTTGCCAGTCTCACCTCAAGCACAGTAACCTCTGACTTGAAGGGAAGATGCATTGCAATAGAAATCAGAAACTGTAAGGTCATGACTTAATGACTAATGTTAACACTACCTGTGCTCCTTGGCCTTATTGTTGAACAAAGACACACAACTTACAGGGAGTCTGTGGATAGGGGAAGGAGCTCAGACCTTTATCACTGCTCGGCTCAGATCTCATCCCAATAGCTATTGTGAACAGCCAAAGTATGTTTTGTGAATGCTTTGTCTGCATGTTTCTATGTGTGAGAGAGACCAACCTGGCTGATTGACTGTTGGTTATAATGAACATTTTTGTTCATTGTTGAAAACATCCTAGTGAATTAAAGATTGTTATTTTATAGTAGAATCATGCATATCATAACCACTGTGAAATGACGTGACTACAGCCTCCAGTGTCCAGTTATTGTTATGAGAAAATATTTAATTATACAACATCGACCAAGTTTTTTTCTAATCCAAGTCAATACAAATCAATATTCATTGTTCTTCAGAGTGAATTAGAACCTTGTACCTTTTTGAGTAATGCTTTAGCTCATAGGTCAGTAATATTTATGACCTTGGAAGTGTTCAATCTTTTGATTTTATTTTTTTTTTGCTGTAAACCTAGTAATTATTCTTTGTGGTGTAGTTACTGTATTTGGAAAACATATATGCTAATATCTGAGTACAGACAGAAGTTTGTGGTTTCACATGACATTTTGAGAACTACTGATGATTTTCACTACTGTTCTTTAAAGAGAAGGTTTGATAAAACCGAACCAGTACAATTTTTCTTTAGAGCATTTGGTAAGATTAGGAATTTTAGGTGTTGAGTTGTCTTCATGGCTAATGACCATTTATTTTGCTTTTTTTACAATATTGTGGTATATTCTGGAGTTTCTGAGAGCATTGCAAATGAATTTTTACTATTAGTCAGAGTTTATTCAGAGAGATAATGCTGAGATGTGCTTTACTGTATTTCAGGTGTTCTGAAAAAAACTATCTAAGCTTATGTATGTTCTTCAGCTTTTAATATGGTGTTGACATTTATCTGAATGCCTTGTTGCATCTCTAGACCTTAGGAGCTCCAAAGGATAAATGAGCTTGAGCTGGTTGGATATTTAGAGAAATAAAAATTAAAACTTTTTCATGTCCTGACAAATTCTCATTGTAACAAAGTGGATGTTGTGGGTTTGAATACATAAATGGCTTTGCAAAACTAAGTAGTATTTTGAGAATTAACTTGAAGATTTAGGATTTGACTGAAGTCTCTGAAAATAACCTGTAAAAATTTATATCACTTGGATGCTGAGAAAATTTGACTCTACATTTTATATGTAAGATACCACCTTGTAAATAGCTTCTATTCTTGCTTGTCTGCAGACATTTTATTCACATTATGGATTAGTCTTGACACAGATGCAGAAGCATCCCAGCTAGCCTGCTCGGTTTGGCAATAGGAGGTGTACTAGTTGTATTAACTAGTATGAGGCCAGAAGTAGTACAGTTGCTTTTGCTTGGGAGGAGGATCACAGTTCTGACAGTATGTAGGTCAGCTCCAAATAGCTTTTGAATTGAAAGGTATGATGCAATGAACCTGATAAATTCTTCTGGACCTGGATGGAAACATGTCAGCTGGAGTTACTGTCAGTAATCCTTCCATGGAGAGCTTACCCTGTATGGAAAGTATTCATTTCTATTCTGCCCAGATGGTTTGCCTGATAAAACATCACGTTCCTGAACTGCTGGTTTTTTAAGCTTGAAGCATGGTAGTATCTTTGACAGTATAGCTGTCTATTCCACTTGATGCTCTGTCATTCCTTAGATGTGGACAGCAGATGTCCTATTTCCAGGAAATGCTCTGCCTGTTGAATCAGCCAAGAGAAAACTTCTGGATTTTAGCAAGGTAATTGATTTTATGCAGAGCTTGCACAGGTTTGAACAATCTGTGGAAAAAACACTAGTGAAAATATATATACAGGATGTGTGATGTAAATCTTCCAGCTTGGTATGGGATCATGGCATCTCCCTGTGTCTGGTTAAAGTTCCTTCTCGTGACATTTGAATTCACTTTAAAGGACTCCACTGCTCCATCCTTTTGGCCAACTATCAAAAAGTGAAGCTTTTGTTACTGTGAGACCTGAAACTGCTATACAAACTGTAAACCCCAAGAGGTGGTTTTTATCTTTCCATGTGAAATTGTATTGAAAGCACAGTATTGATGAGCAATGACTGAGTGCACAGAGAAGTAATGTAGCTCAGGCTCATGGAGCTCATGGAGCTCAGGCTCAGTTTATTTTACAGGAAAAAAATGTTGAAATAGTAATTTTATAATTAAAGTCAAATGAGCACATACTGTGAGATCAGTGCACTGAGTTTAATTCCTTTCATCCCCAGAAGGAAGGAATGGATTAAGCATCTCCCTGGAGCAGAACTTGCTTATTCGAAATACAGAATGGATTATTTGTGTGATGAGCCTACATGTCATATTTACCATGTCTTCACATGGTGCAAAATCAACAAGCAGCAGATCCTTTCAAAGGGATTTATAGAATTGCTGAAATTATATTTAATTCAAATTATATGCATTAATATAATGGAGTTTGAAACTTGGACTTAATTTTGCATATATGTATGTCTTTAGTTACAGTTATATGTATGATTGCTTGAAACATTACTTAGCTTCACAGTCAGAATTTCTTAACTTAAAAGTGAGCCTTAAGGTAATGCCATCATGACAAGCAGCCTGCAAAGTCAGAAACAGGTTTTCTCCTCCAAACATTTAAATTTAGACTGTTGACCAGTATATAATGAAACCTTACTACTACTCTGCCCTTACAGAAACCAAGGGGGACGTTATTGTGCCCCATTCAAGAAACTTATCACTGCAGGACTAGTGTTAAGGCCCATAAATGAAAACAATGTGTTTCAGAATTCATGAGTAAGACCCTTCCCTCAGAATTACAGATGCAATTAGAAAGTCTGTCATTTAAAAATAAAGTATTTGATACTCACTTTAGATGTAGATGGCTGTAGTTCCCACTGATTTCCTGGACTGAGATTGCCTGGTTTACCAAGGGTCCAAGCAGTGCCCAACCAAGGGCATGCATTAGGAAAATAACACTTGAGTCAAAGATGTTGCTCCTGGGATTGCTTTTTCCTGCAGCAGCTTTAAAAAGGACATCAAATGTTCCTATGGCACTGATACAATGTCAAGAGCTGATGGCAGTGTTCAAGAGGCACTTTGAAGTCAAGGAGACCTTAACATTTGCTTTAAGATAAGCATGATCTCAGTGCTATCCTGAATATGGGCAGGCTGAATAGCTACTCCCGCGCTTTCCAAACTAAAATCCAATGCCCTCTTATCTGTTTTAACAACATGGATAAATCAGACAACACTAATGCTCTGCAAGTTGTTCTCTTCATTCATCTATTTGTTTAGGGGGATAGAGGGGAAAGAAATGACCTCACACAAGAATAAAAATAGTTCCTTTGTGAAGCAAAAATAACTCACCATAAATTTGAGACTAAGCAAAATATTTCATAAAATCTGCAACATAAGTATAATTTTGTTTTTAGTCCAATTCTGGACGTGTTTTTTATTGAGTCTTAAAAGTTACTGTTATTAAAAAAAAATAGTAAAAAACACCACAATTTTTTAAGATTAAATATTTCAGCTTCTCAATGTTTGATTTTTGTTGGTTGAATTAATTAGTAAGTTTCAGTTAAATTTGCAAATGGGTCAAAAGTAAATTATTTTTCACAAGAAATGAATTTGTGCCTAATCTAGTTAATATTAAATTAAGCTATTTTAAAAATCCATACTTTTTACTTCTGGCATCTACTGACTTAAACATCTGCACTACAGCAGACTTCTAGACATGTAAAGTCTTGTTGCCTGAAGTAGTCAAGGGCTCAGAACTATTTATGTGAACTATATAATAGGAGAGTTATTTGAATCATCTGTGAATTCAGAGATTTGGTTTAGCTAGGAGGATTGCAGTTGTGTAGCTGTCTCTTTCCTAAGTAAATTTTTGGCACCAAATAACAAAGAGATGTTGTGGAAATATTTCCTTAAACTGAGGAAGTTTCCTTTTCTCTGAGAAGAATAACACAGCTGCCTGCCTTCTGCCCTGCTCAATACACCTAGCAAAAGGCCCTTGAAGTCTTGTCCTCATTATGTTATGTTTCTCCTCCCACATAACCCTTGTGCTCCAGCTGTGCCTGCCTCTGGGACCCACTGGAGCTTTCCCAAGTTTCATTTCAGCCACATTCTACTCCACATTGATAACTGATCTGCTGAACGGGC